TCTTGGGGGCGTTTTTAATAAAACAATTATTCCACTCGCGCTTGTTGGATATGAGATGATTATAGCCAACGAGGCGCGTAGCGCCTCGTTGGCTATCTATCATCTCATATCCAACGCGCGCTCGTGGAATAATTGTTAAGTAGTATTTTGGAAACGTCTTATTCTGAACGATAGTTTAGCGCGATTATCTGGATGAGACAAATCTAAAAAATGACCCGGTTGCTGGCAGTTTATATTTTCCCGAAGCATTTTGATTTGAGTACTTTAATTAGTCACCTTTTGATCTGGTGAAGGACGTATTTTTATTTGGTTAGAAGGTCAGTTCAGTTTGGCGTGAAAGGTGATGCCGTGATGAATGTGGTTGAATGTGTCATGATATAACTGATTGTCTTACCGCTGCACTACTAAGTAGGGTGAGACCATGCACAAAACGATGTGTTGTCCAAAGCCAGGAAAACTAACTTTATTGTGAAATTAATCCTGTCTTTGAACAAACAGAAAAGTAAACTATGCACTAAAATGAATCTCCCAGAAACAAGTAAAACTTTATGTGCAGCAGACGGTTCCTCCCCCATCCATTTTTTTTTCCACTTCGAAAGTGCCAAGAAACAATTAACGTGATAATAATTATTCTCCCACGCCTCCCCGCTTACAAAAATCACCCGTATTCGAATCTAATAAATACATCGTGGGTTCGTTTTTGAAAGCTACTTTTCTACAGACAGTTCTTTAGTCAATCATAGCTCGTCACCCGCATGTCAATTGGAAAAGCCGTTTGACGTGGTAATAAATATTCTCCTTGGCCCCCCTCCCCTCCCCTCACGGAAAATCTCCCGTGTTTAGTACTGATGACTACATCATGAATTCGTTTTGAGATATTGACCAACAGTGTTAAAGCTTTTGAAAGCCAATTTTCTTCAGCAAGTTCTTCGGTCAGTAATAGTCTGTCACACACACGTCAACTTAAAAAAAAAGAACAAAACAAACTTGACAGTTTTCGCTGCTCCTTCCTTGGTAACCTCAGTTCATCGTTTAAACAGCTGACTTCACTTTGTTTCTATCGTTAAACCCCTTATATTTGTTCTGCGGTGAACGAGAAACTACCAAGGGTTTGTAAATTGGAAAATAAAAGCATGGCACGCAATTTGAACTGTAGATTTTATCACCTTACTGGGCTTACTGGAACGAAGAAAGGGACTACTTAACTACCATCGAGTGCCCATGACAGGTATTACTCCTTTTGATCTACATATATATATTTTTTAATAAGTATCAGAAGTATTGTACTAGTCGACTACTTCGATAATCAAACACTGTGATTAATTCCGAACTATTGTAGTATCTCCTTGATAATGAATAGATCCTGTAGGGAAACTTAAAGTACTGAATCAAATTTGATTGTGCTCTTACGGATCATGAAACAGAGTGTATCTTATCTATTTCTGATAACCATGCACAAAACGGGATAAGGTTTGTTAGAGCGATTTTCTAACATTACTACTATTTCAGCAGTTTTGAGGTCTGTCTGGTTGTAAGATTGTTCTAATCTTATGACAAAAATAATTTTTTTAATGGTTTAGATATTCATGATCAACCACCTTTTCGTCCAATAATTGGAGTAAACCTCTAATAATAATTACAATGCTGAAATGGCAATGCAGTTGAAATCTTTCGAAATTTTCCTAAAACTGGACAACAATTTCCCATCAATAGTCATCAACTTTAAACCTCAACTCAGAAAAAAGCAGGGTACAGAATTTCTAGAGTCGACTCATCAACAATTGATTTAAGAAGCTATCTGCATTTGAATAGTGTTTGTTAGAATACTAAACATTTTTTCCTGTTGATTTCGAGGGTCACTTAAACAACTTTGAACAAACAATTTACGAATGAGATTAGACATTTTGAGGAAATGTTGCGTCAAGGGTTTTGTTGGCAAATTAAATGGGAAATTACGGATTATAATCGGCAAAAAACCAAAAATTGAACCGTCTTTATGCTTCCGTCTCTATGCTATCTCTATCGACCATATACAAAGAGCTTTTCATTACGAAATGTTAAATTGGTTTATGTCCAGGCTCCCGTTCGATGTCGTTCTCCAAACCTTTGGCAAGGATGCTCGTTATCTTGCACAGTGTGCAAATCTCGGACTCGCTTATGTTCTCAAAGTGTGCAAAACGAAACTTTTATATTAAGCTTTCTAAGTGCGAAAAGATACCATAGACGCCAAGAGAGTCAATCAGAGACAGTAAGTAGGCGAAATGTAGGTGACAGTATTCAGAGCACGATAGCTCTTTCCTGTCTTTCATTTGAAATTACCTGTAAAAGGGATCAAACTATTGCAGTGCCAAGCTTGACCTTCGATAAGGATGTAACATGAACCAAACTCTTAATCCCAGGGACCTTTGAAATAGACACGAATCAGGTAGTTTTGAAAATATGGAATGCCAGAATTCGGAACCGGAACCGGAATACTTGGAATACCCGGAATTCCCGGAAATGACCGAAAAATAAAAGTAAATTAACAAATAAATAAATAAGTATATTGATGATTAAAAATTGATGGTAAATTCACAACTTAATTAAACAATTTGAAACTAAATGTTTCTCTGAGGGTCCCAAAACATAAAAACTTACAGGCACTGTTCATGGAGATGCACGTATTAGAACTAAAAAGAGTCTGCGTCAGGCCAGTAGCCCATACAGCCTAAGCGGCGAAATGTTTGTACCCTCCCTTCCCCCTGAATGGGATGCTAATCCATCACATGGTTTCTCCCCGTTTTAAATTCGCCTCCACTCATTTACACTCCTGTAGGATGTCTAGGGCGCCATGACCATTAGGCCGCCACGCTTTTCTAGCCGGAACCAATGCAGANTTTGAACCCGTTCTTAGGGTGTCACGCAACGCTAAAGGATCTTCGAAGGGTGCGTTGAAGTATTGCGTGATAT